TCATTAAAATTTTATACAAGCAATGTTGTATTAATTACCTCATTTAATATTGTAATATCTGCTTGCAGAGCTTGTGCATCTTTTTTCTTTTGTAACTCTCTATCTTGAGGTACCTCAAGATTTAAGTCCATAATAACTTCATCGAATTCTTTTGAAATTCGATCAAACCGTTCTTTGATACTTTTTGTCGTAGGAAATTTACGTAAACTCCATAGAGACGACACATCAGTGATGAATTGTTGAGTTTTCTTCAAGATAGCAAGAAGACGAATTAAAGCATTGTAGTAATTTTGATTAAGGAAATTTGATTCAATTTTGTCCTTCCGTCTTTTCAAAGCTTTTATGGGTGCCCCAACGCAATCAACTCGATCAAGTAAAACATTGCTAATTCTTTTATTATATTGTGCGTAATCATAAGAATTATAAATCCTTCTTATTGAATCAGTAAGTGAGCTGATTAAAGGCGCATAAGGCTTAACTACTTCACCAGTTACAGCCACGTCACCAAGTAGTGATTTTGCGTATTCCAACTTGTCACTCGTACTACGACCATGATACTGGTCTTCAGTCTGTTGTGTTGCTTCGTTATCACTTGCGGGTTCATTAGGGCTAATCTCGAGTGTTTCTTTAGTTGACATTTATTAATTGTTCAAAGTCTAAGAAATCATAAATGAAATTGATCAGAGTGTTACGCGATTTAATGATCTAAATATAATCCTCTTTCTTTCATCCCTTGACTCTCTCGTGTAGTTTAGAGGATAGTTTAGGCTCATTTATATTGCTTCATGCGCGTTTATGATTCGACTTTACCTGAATATTTATAGACTAAAAGAATTAAAAAACTCGGTCTTATCTGTTATCGTTCTCAATATGATATTATGTCCACGTGACAAATTTTCTAATTTTAAAAAAGTTTTTTTTCTTAATTCTGTCGATCATGATCGACAAAACCTGGCACAGGATTTTTGACTTTTACTAAAGCGCGCCTATGGTGTTTTATATACCTATGTGTATATTATCTCAATTAATTGGTATGAGATGCCTTAAGTAAAAATATTTTATGTTCTTCCAAACCCTAACATTAACCCTAACATAAAAAACCAAACTTAAAAAATTTTTTTTTTTTTTTTTTTTTTGGTATTAAGGTGAGGCCTTGCTCGTATCTTTATTAATAATTTTTGAAATAGCAACA